GTGTCGTCAGAGTAGCTATGGTCCGTACAGCTACGGGTCTAGTCAAGAGAGCCGTCGCCAAGTTAGCCGTTCTGCCCATCGATTCCCATTTAGTTGGAGCCCTACTTCCTCCAACGGGGGGAGTATGTTCGGAGCAGCCCGCCTAAACTAGTCTAGTGCGCATAGGTGTATGGCTGAACCTGTAGCGCTCTTGCGCTCTCCTCTTTATATCTGCCTTATCTCGCTAAGCTGTCGCGCTACGTATTCAGCGACTACATTGTAAAACCCAAATTAAAATATGAAGCCAGGCTTTCGGCTGCAGCAGTGCAGATTCGACTGGCAGAATAAACACGACACGTACATAAACTTATAATATTGAAAGCGTTATTATTACATAACCTAAGGGTGGCATTTTTGTTGTCTTCCCCCAAACAGTATCTATATCGCAAATACCATAGCAACAGTCCAAAATGCATATTACTAAATACCATAAACACAGATCAAGTAGTTTATATCAAAAATATTTATCATGAACAACTTTCAAACTACGAAGTAGTAAAAACTGACTTAGAAACCGCCTCAATTCAATGAACAACTTACAACATTATGCACCCAGTATAGTGATGTATTCGGACTAGAAACAGAATCGATCACTACCAATAACTTTTATAAACAAAAGCTGAGATTAATTGATGATGAACCCGTATATATAAAAAATTATAGAAATCCTCATAGGAAACTCAAAAACAAGTCCAAAAACTCATCAATGATGAAATAGTGGAATCCTCTGTATCACCTTATAATAGCCCACTTTTGTTAGTACCAAAAAAGTCACTTCCAAATTCGGAAAATAAAAAATGGCGATTAATAATTGACTATCGTCAAATTAATAAAAAACTCTTGTCTGATAAATTTCCACTCCCTAGAATAGATGATATTTTAGATCAACTAGGTAGAGCAAAATATTTCTCATGCCTTGACTTAATGTCAGGTTTTCATCAAATTAAACTGGAAACAAGTTCACGGGATATAACATCCTTTTCAACAAATAATGGTTCGTATCGCTTTGCGCGATTACTATTCGGTTTAAAAATAGCGCCAAACTCTTTTCAGAGTATGATGACTATAGCTTTCTCTGGATTAGAACCTTCGCAAGCATTTCTTTATATGGATGACTTAATAGTCATAGGTTGTTCCGAAAAACATATGCTCAAGAACTTAACTGATGTTTTCGAGAAATGTTGGAAACACAACCTAAAGTTACATCCTGAAAAATGTTCATTTTTCATGCATGAAGTCACTTTCTTAGGACATAAATGCACAGATAAAGGAATCTTGCCTGACGACAAAAAATACGACGTAATTCAAAATTATCCAGTCCCACATGATGCGGACAGCGCTAGAAGATTCATTGCATTTTGCAATTATTACAGACGTTTTATAAAGAATTTTGCTGAATACTCCCGTCACATAAGAAGGTTATGTAAGAAAGATGTAAAATTCGAATGGACAGCACAATGTCAAAATGCCTTCGAACATCTTAAATCAGCATTAATAAATCCTACTCTGTTGCAATACCCAGATTTTAGCAAAGAATTTTGCATAATCACAGAGCAGTCCTAACTCAAAACAAAAATGGACTACAGCTTCCAGTTGCATACGCATCAAGATCCTTTACAAAAGGTGAAAGCAACAAGAGCACTACAGAACAAGAATTAGCATCCATTCATTGGGCAATAACACACTTCAGACCATATATTTATGGTAGACACTTCACTGTCAAAACAGACCATAGAGCAGTTACCTACTTATTTTTAATGGTAAATCCCAGTTCCAAACTAACACGAATGAGACTTGAATTGGAGGAATATAATTTTACGGTAGAGTATCTAAAGGGTAAAGATAATTATGTAGCCGTTGCGCTCTCTAGAATAACCATCACAGACTTAAAAAATATACAAACAAACAATACAATTCTGAAAGTCACTACCAGAAACCAAAGAAGACAAAAATCCTGCGCAGGAAAAGAACAAATAGAATTGCATAAGCAATCTCTAGAAAAAGCTTCAAAGCCCAACGTATATGAAGTCATTAATAATGATGAAGTACGTAAAGTAGTGACCTGGCATGTAAATTATAAAATGTATTTATTTAAGCACGGAAAGAAAATTACAGCAAGATATGATGTTAGCGATTAGTATACTAATGGAACCATTGACTTAGGTCGATTCTTTAAAAGGCTTGAAAAGCAGGCCGGTATTCACAAAGTCAGCCAACTCAAAGTGGCACCGTGGGAAAATATCTTTGAACATGTTTCAATTGATAATTTTAAAATTATGGGCAATAATATATTGAAATCATTGAGAGTAGCGCTACTCAACCCGGTGACCGTAATAAGAAACAAGAGAGAATGCTATAGTCGGGTGCCCCGACTATCAGATACCCGTTTCTCAGGTAAAGGGAGTGCGAGGGAGATGGAGATAGAAATTTTGATCACGCATAACTTTTTAACGAATGGTCCCATTTGAAAATTTTCTTCTACATTTCGATAGGTATTGATAAACTCAATAAAACTGCATTTTTACTTTTCCGAAATATTTAAATTTTTAAAATCGTATATAAGCGATTGTGGGCGTTAAAGGGGGCATGGCACCTTTTTGAAACAAACTTGCGCTGCGTAGGAACTCCTAGAATCTGCATGCAAAATGCCAATCTTCTAGCTTTTATAGTTTCCGAGATCTCAGCGTTCATACGGACAGACAGACAGACGGACAGACAGACGGACAGACGGACAGACGGACATGGCTATATCGACTCGGCTAGTGACCCTGATCAAGAATATATATACTTTATAGGGTCGGAAACGCTTCCTTCTAGCTGTTACATACTTTTGCACGAATACAATATACCCTTTTACTCTACGAGTAACGGGTATAATAATAAAGAAAAAGAAGCTATATTGTCTACATTCCATGATGATCCAATACAAGGTGGTCATACAGGCACTACAAAAACCTTGGCCAAGGTCCAGAGACACTATTACTGGAAAAATATGCCCAAAGACATAAACGAGTACATAAAGAAATGTCCTAAATACCAAAAGTCGAAAACGACTAAACATACTAAGACCCCACTAACTATAACCGAAACTCCACAAAGAGCTTTTGATATAGTAATTGTAGATACTATTGGTCCTCTTCCAAAATCTAATAATGGAAATGAATACGCAGTAACACTCATCTGCGATTTAACTAAATACCTAGTAGCTATACCTATACCAAATAAAAGTGCAAATACAGTAGCAAAAGCTATATTTGAAGATTTTATTCTAAAGTACGGTCCAATGAAGACGTTCATTACGGACATGGGAACAGAATATAAAAATTCAATTATTGGAGATCTATGTAAATACTTACATATTAAAAACATAACTTCAACTGCACACCACCACCAGACTGTAGGTACCGTGGAGCGAAGCCACAGAACACTCAATGAGTTCATTCGTTCATACATCTCAGTTGACAAAACAGATTGGGATGTATGGCTGCGATACTTCGTCTATTGTTTTAATACAACCCCATCTATGGCACATGACTATTGTCCATATGAGCTAGTTTTTGGTAAAATTTCAAATCTACCAAAACATTTTAATAGCATAGATAAAATAAAACCCCTTTATAATATAGAAGATTATGCTAAGGAATCAAAATTTAAAACAAAAAATTAGTTACGACAAAACTAGTTTAGATTTCGATTTAAAAATAGGAGATCGGGTTTTATTGAAAAATGAAACAGGACATAAGTTAGGTTTCAAATATACAGGTCCTTATAAGGTAGAACAAATAGGAGATAGAGATAACATAACTATAATAAATAATAAAAATAAAAAACAAACAGTACATAAAGATAGATTAAAACTCTTTATTTCATAATCAATTTTTATTTCATAAATATATTACGTATGGCCATACATAATATAAGAGCATATAGGATAACCATATCTAAAACAAGAGAGAACGCTATAGTCGGGTGCCCCGACTATCAGATACCCGTTACTCAGGTAAAGGGAGTGCGAGGGAGATGGAGATAGAAACTTTGATCACGCATAACTTTTTAACGAATGGTCCGATTTGAAAAATTTCTTCTACATTTCGATAGGTATTGATAAACACAATAAAACTGCATTTTTACTTTTCCGAAATATTTAAATTTTTTAAATCGTATTTAAGCGATTGTGGGCGTTAAAGGGGGCATGGCACCTTTTGAAATAAACTTGCGCTGCGTAGGAAATCCTAGAATTTGCATGCAAAATGCCAATCTTCTAGCTTTTATAGTTTCCGAGATCTCAGCGTTCATACGGACGGACAGACAGACGGACAGACGGACAGACAGACAGACGGACAGACGGACATGGCTATATCGACTCGGCTAGTGACCCTGATCAAGAATATATATACTTTATAGGGTCGGAAACGCTTCCTTCTAGCTGTTACATACCTTTGCACGAATACAATATACCCTTTTACTCTACAAGTAACGGGTATAATAATAACAAAAAAAAAATATAAAAAAACAAATTAAAAACAAAAAAAATTTTTTTTTAAATAATATCAATTTTCTCAAAGTTTTCTCAAAGAAAATAACTCAATTATATTACATTATTTTTCAAAAGGAGGGAGATGTAGTATGCACACATATGAAATATATATATCGACCACCCACTGTACCAAGAGTACTAAGAGGGCAACTACTGTAACACTTTGTCGCAGTGTTTATACAATTCAGGGTCTCGGTCATCAACCTAAGTGCCCGAAATACGAACCGCCCGCTGTGCCTTGGCTCACATGCTGAAAGTGCATGTGTCAGCATAAGTGCAACACGAGCGGACCTCATGTATGTGCATATACCTCCGCACTCCAGACTAAGTGAGCATATACAATTACATATATTAAGAATATATAGGCCGTCTCTCCGCTGCCGCTGTTGGCAGCGCCGCTACGAGACTGAGACCTTGTAACGACCCTGTTTTGGGAGGCGGTATAGCTCGCCGTGGTCAGGGTTCGTGACAGATATTTATATTTATTCCTCTATAGATCGGTTTACCTCCCTTTCCCCAATAATGACACAGATGGGTAAAACTAGAGACGTGTATTTCAAAGTAATCGTATAATCGTGTAGTTGTGTGTAGATGCGTCGGGACTGCTTGTTCTGTCGATCCGGCGCTTCGGAAGAGCCGAGTGATGGACTGCTTGCTGTCGGCGCTGCGAATGGGCCGAGTGGTGAACTGCTTGCTGTGAGTGTCGGCGCTGCGGATGGGCCGAGTGATGAACTGCTTGCTGCGAGTGTCGGCGCTGCGGATGGGCCGAGTGATGGACTGCTTGCTGCGAGTATCGGCGCTGCGGATGGGCCGAGTTATGAACTGCTTCGTCGTGCGTACGTCGGGTCGAAGTGTTCTGGGTCGTTGGGAGAGATCTACTTGGTTTCTAGTGGGATTCGGGAATGTAGGGCATCGTTAGTTTCGGTCTGCCGGGCATCGTTAGGTTCGAACTGCCGTTTCTACATTCGTTTCGTTTCCGGGTCGGGAGCCGGAAACGTGACTTCTGGGGGAACTCACTGAGGTGGGCCTGTATTACGAAAACCGGGCCGCCTCAGTGATCACGACTGGGTCTGGGCTGATTTCTAGGAAACCACACCGGGACGCCAGTGATCCTGTCCAGGTCGTAGAACCGATTTATAAACCGCGTTCTTACGGATCCACTCCTACTACCAAGACTATCTACCAGAACACTTACCTTGTTGCTGATGTTTCCTCGAAGATCGTCGGAACGCAAGTGACTCATCTGGGGTCTTGCCTCTGCTTATATAGGCCCCGTTGAGTGTGCCCAGAGTGGTCGATGACGAGAATCCCGATCTCGATAACTCGTTATCGGGTCACGAGATATAGCGATGGTAGTCGACTATCGGTATATTAGTGTGACCGGTTTAATGTTTTTGGGCGCGCGTTTTGAAAGTGCGCGATTTTGGCGCGTGTTTTGAAAGTGGTGTAGCGTAGGGAGAATAAAAGATCATTGTGTGTTGTTTTTGGAATGCTCTTTTATTATTTGTGACGCTGGGTCGTCACACCCCCCCCGCTTAGGACGTTGGTGTCTCCCCGGTGTTTTTTTGGATGTGTCCATTTCTCCCGATCCGGATTCGGGTCGTGAGGTTGTCCGAGACCACCAATCTAGATCTTCTGTTTCCTTTGCGCCAGGTTGCCTTTATGTGTGTGACCGCTTCTTCCACCCTTTTCATGTGATTGTCGTATCCCCGCGGTTTTGGTTCCCAGTTCTCTTCACTTTCTTCTGATGTTTTGAACCGCTTTGCTCCGGGATGGTCGAGTGAAGAGAGCCGCCGCGGGGTTACCCATTTTGTTTGTGGTCGTTGGAAATCAGCCAGCTCGTTCCTTTTTGTTCCTGTTGTTGTCCTGGGCGTGAGGGGTCGTGCTTCGTTGTCCGTTGTTTGCCGTGTCGTTTCCTTGGTTGTTGTTGTTGTCATCGGTTGTCGTTTTGTTGCCGTGGTCGTTTTTCTGGTTGTTGGAGTTGTTACCGTTTGCCGTGTTGTTGCCGTGGTCGTTTCCCTGGTTGTTGGTGTCGCCATCGTTTGCCGTGTTGTTGCCGTGGTCGTTTTCCTGGTTGTTGGAGTTGTTACCGTTTGCCGTGTTGTTGCCGTGGTCGTTTCCCTGGTTGTTGGTGTCGCCATCGTTTGCCGTGTTGTTGCCGTGGTTGGTGTAGGAATTGGTTTCCTGGCTGGCGCTTGTCTGCCTACCGGAGCAGCCTGGGTTGGCTTCCTGCAACCAGCTGGACCTGCCACGTCCACGGCTCCGAGTATAATTACTCTTCGCCGCTGCTGGTTGAGCTTTTGGAGGTTCTCTCGGTATTTGGAGAGCGATTTTTTCAGTTTGTTGTTCATTCTGAAAAATGTGCGTATAGTTTTAGCTTGTTGTGTGTTTTTTTTTTTTCTCTCTTTTTTTTTTTTTGGGTTGGTCGTGTTTGTTAGTCGAGGTTTTCTACATGGGGTTTTAGTTCGTTTAGTAGATATGCCGGGCTATACCCTGTTGATTCCGATCTGCTACTGTTGATTGCTAGCGAGATTTCAGGTAGCCAGTCGTCCCATCTTGTGTGCTCTGTTCCTGAGAATTGGGCTATCATTGTTTTTATCGTGCGGTTTGCCCTTTCTGCTGGGTTTTCCTGAGGGGTGTATGGGGCTGTTAGTTGGTGAGCAATCCCCCATTTCTGTAGTTGTCCCTTGAACTTGTTGCTTGTGAATTGTACTCCATTGTCTGAGATTAGGTTTTTTGGAGTTCCAAACCGTGATATGATTTGTTCCCTGAGGACCTTTAATACGATTTCCGTGGTTGCTTTCCGGACGGCTGCTATCTCCACCCACTTCGTGAATTTATCGAACATTACTAATAACATGTTATTACCGTGGCTAGACCGCGGTAGTGGCCCCACAAAGTCTATGCACAAGGTTTCACAGGGTGTTTTCGCGATCTGTGTCAACATTTTCCCAGCTGCTTGTTGTTGTGATGTCTTATACCGTTGACATGTTTCGCAGCTTCGTACGTGTTTTTGTATGTCTCTGTGCATCCCTTTATCCATTGGTATTTGCCAGTAGCCACTTTTTTAGTCGAGTGTACTTATATACTTGGCCTCCCGTAGTTGGTTGAGTATGTGATCCATTCGGGGTACCGGGTATGCGTCTCGTTCTGAGTGCTCGTTCAGCTGCCTGTAGTCTATACAAAGTCTCCATTCTTTGTTTTTCTTTTCTACGATTACTACTGGCGAGCTGTAAGCGGAATGTGAGGGTTCGATGAGATCCTGAGCTAGGAGGTCGTCCACTTGTTTGTTTATTATTGCTTGCATGGCCGGGTTTCGAGGGTAATACCTCTGTTTAATTGGGCGATCGTGCTTCATAAAAATCTTATGCGTGGCAATGTGGCTAACTCCCTTGATTTGACTCATCATATCCAATTCCTTTTTGAGGGTTTCTTGGATCTCTGCGTCTGTTAAATCGCCTGTTGCTAGTGATCCGATGCCGTGACTCTTCCGTGTTCTGTTTTTGTTTCTTTTTTTTCTGTGCATTCTTGCTGTGATGCCTCCGCATTGTAGTGTCGCGTTACATTGTTCCAAGAAGTCTATCCCCAGTAGTAGGTCGCCGATTACTTCTTCGAGGATTAGCAGCGTCATCGTGCTTGGTTGATTCCCGAGATGTATTGGTACTTCCAGTGCCTCTGTGACCGTTCTGTTTGTCCCGTCTGCTAGTCTAATGGCTTCGGTTACTTGCTTCCTTATCCCATGCCTTGCAATGTTGTTGGCTAGCTTCCTGGCGATGAAACTTCTTGTTGCTCCCGTGTCTATGGCCCCGCGAACTCTTGTGTTGCCTATATTCACTTGTGCAATTAGTCGTCGGCCATTGAAGTTTATTGCTGTTGCGGGTGTGGTGTTTGCCCTGGGTGCCCGCTCTGATCCCATGGGCCTCTGGCGTTTCCCGCCGTTTCGTTCCGGCGACAGCAATGGATTGTGCGTATTCCATCATGTCCGCATATCCAGCAATATATTCTTGGTGTGTTGTTGCACTGCTGTCCTATGTGTCCTTCTTCTTTGCACCTTGAACATCTATTATTCATGCTGAATGATCTTGTGATTCCTCGGTTCAGTGTTTGTGGTTGTTCCTGGGGTCTCCATTGGTTTCTTGTTTGTCTCCCGAAATTTCCGGATGTTTGCTGTTGTCTCCCGAAATTTCCCGGTCGCTGCTGTTGTGTCCAGTGATTCTCCGGTGTTTGTTGTGTTGTGCGTTCCTGTGGCTGGAGGGCCTCGAATTCCTTTGCTAACTGCAGGTATTCTGCTAGGGTTCGGCATTCTCCCCGTTTAGCATACTTTTTAAATTCCACACGACTGTTCCGGTAGACCCACTCTAGTTTTTTTCCTTCCGTGAGTGTGGTAAATCTCATAATCTTCCGTAGTTCCCGCGCGTAGTCTTTTGCTGGCTCGTTTGTACCCTGGTGTCTGCGTGTTATGTTTTCCATCGCTCTCTCTTCGTGGTCCGTTGGTCTGTAGTATCCCAGGAATTCCTTTTTAAAGTTTTCCCACGATGGCATTGGGGTAGGATGGGTGTGCCACCAGTCCAGGGCACAGTCTCTGAGCAAAATTACCATAGCTCATGTCGAGCTCTATCCCATAGGCCTTTGCCAGCTCTTCCATTCTAGAAATGAATTCTGTCGGGTCGCCCGTGCCGTCGTAAAATTCTCCCCAGCTTCGTATTACTCCCATTGTGGCCACTTTGTCGGTCTTTCTGGGCTCGGGTGCGGGTTTTCCGTTGCTTGTCTCTTGTTTGTCTGGTATCTGTAACAAGTTCTGGTTTTTCTCCATTCCGTCGGGTGCTGGTGATGGGGTTCTCGCGTGCTTCTGTGCTAGGTCTTGGAGACGTTTGGTTGTTTCTTCGCTGTGTGCACCGCTCTTGATTAACTCCGACATTTGTTTCCGCATGTCCTCGCACCGCGTTTCTGGCTTGATGTCGAATTCCCTCAGATAGATTTCCAGTTGGGCCTTGTTGCAATTGCTGATCCAGCTTCGAGTCAGCTTGTCTTCCATGTTGCTGTGTTGCTGTGTTGAGGAAGAGGGTAAACGATCTTTGTTGGTATTTTGAGGTTTCTATCTGTTTGTTTTTAATCTGTTCGGGCGCCACTGTAACGACCCTGTTTTGGGAGGCGGTATAGCTCGCCGTGGTCAGGGTTCGTGACAGATATTTATATTTATTCCTCTATAGATCGGTTTACCTCCCTTTCCCCAATAATGACACAGATGGGTAAAACTAGAGACGTGTATTTCAAAGTAATCGTATAATCGTGTAGTTGTGTGTAGATGCGTCGGGACTGCTTGTTCTGTCGATCCGGCGCTTCGGAAGAGCCGAGTGATGGACTGCTTGCTGTCGGCGCTGCGAATGGGTCGAGTGGTGAACTGCTTGCTGTGAGTGTCGGCGCTGCGGATGGGCCGAGTGATGAACTGCTTGCTGCGAGTGTCGGCGCTGCGGATGGGCCGAGTGATGGACTGCTTGCTGCGAGTATCGGCACTGCGGATGGGCCGAGTTATGAACTGCTTCGTCGTGCGTACGTCGGGTCGAAGTGTTCTGGGTCGTTGGGAGAGATCTACTTGGTTTCTAGTGGGATCCGGGAATGTAGGGCATCGTTAGTTTCGGTCTGCCGGGCATCGTTAGGTTCGAACTGCCGTTTCTACATTCGTTTCGTTTCCGGGTCGGGAGCCGGAAACGTGACTTCTGGGGGAACTCACTGAGGTGGGCCTGTATTACGAAAACCGGGCCGCCTCAGTGATCACGACTGGGTCTGGGCTGATTTCTAGGAAACCACACCGGGACGCCAGTGATCCTGTCCAGGTCGTAGAACCGATTTATAAACCGCGTTCTTACGGATCCACTACTACTACCAAGACTATCTACCAGAACACTTACCTTGTTGCTGATGTTTCCTCGAAGATCGTCGGAACGCAAGTGACTCATCTGGGGTCTTGCCTCTGCTTATATAGGCCCCGTTGAGTGTGCCCAGAGTGGTCGATGACGAGAATCCCGATCTCGATAACTCGTTATCGGGTCACGAGATATAGCGATGGTAGTCGACTATCGGTATATTAGTGTGACCGGTTTAATGTTTTTGGGCGCGCGTTTTGAAAGTGCGCGATTTTGGCGCGTGTTTTGAAAGTGGTGTAGCGTAGGGAGAATAAAAGATCATTGTGTGTTGTTTTTGGAATGCTCTTTTATTATTTGTGACGCTGGGTCGTCACAACCTTTTTAGCTCCTAAGTAAATTAAGCGAAAAAAGAAACTCTTTTGAGCTCAGAGCGGCAACAACGGCTGCTCTCCTCCAAATATAAATAAAATAAAAATAATAAATAAAAAAAATCCAAAAAGAAACCAAATCGGACTCATTGAATTGGAGGAACATGGAAAAAGCAATTTAACTTATTACATAACAGCGTAGATGCAACAGTACATAGCGCACACGAGGATAATCAAAATTACATTTCAATAACTGAAAGACCAATTAATAATTTTTTTATTCGGACGTTGATGCACTATGATCAGCGCAAACAAGTGGCGCTTACGACACCAAGCAGTGCTTGTTACGCGCGGAGCCTAATAGGCGTAAAAACGAGATTGCGAGAAGTTAAAAGCACAATGCAGAAGCGGACAGACAAGATTAGAAATACGTACGAGACTAATACTAATACTAATTTTGTGCTAAGTAAGATAAAATTAATGATTTTAGGCTTGGCAAAGAGTTGGTAGTAGAAATAATGTGGTATAGTCTATTATAGTCGTTACACAGTACTCTAAACGGTTCATGCATATCAAAGTTAGATCTACAAATATTTAATGTAAGAGGAACATAGTTCCTGGTAATTCTATTAGGCACGGAGAAGCTTATGCGATCCAGTAACTCGGGACTCTCCACATCCCCGTGAATAAGTTTATAGATAAAAGTTGTGCCAAGCATCGTTCTACAGTTTACTAAGGATGGTAGATTAATTAGGAGAAGTCTACTAGAGTAGGATGGTAAAATAAGGCTTGCATTCCAGTTAAGGCCCCGAAGAGCAAATAATAAAAGTTCTTTTGCACAGACTCTATCCGGTCTATATGTACACCATACTGAGGACTCCAAACTGCAGAGCAGTACTCCAGGATTGGACGGACTAGTGAAATAAACAGTGTCTTTGTAACATAGGGATCATCGAATTCCTTTGACCACCTTTTAATAAATCCAAGTACTCCCCTGGCTTTATTCACCATAGAAGTAATAAGGTCACAAAACTTAAGTTTAGGGTCAAGGAGGACGCCAAGGTCATCAACATGCGTAATTCTAGACAACGCGCAACCACCCAGAGTATACGTTGCATATTGTGGGTTCACCCGAAAAAATGTCATTACTTTGCACTTAGCGCTATTTAAATCCAAAAGATTTTCACAACACCATGTTTGAAAAGCGTTTAGGTCAGATTGTAAGTCTGAACTGCTAGAAATTTCGTTATATTGCAGGCATAACTTAACGTCATCTGCGTACATAAGGACACGCGACTTTGTCAAGACTAGAGGGAGATCGTTTATAAATAAAGTAAAAAGAAGTGGGCCAAGGTGGCTTCCTTGTGGGACGCCTGAAGTAACTCGGATCAAATCAGAGATCGAGTTTTTAAAGAGGACTCGTTGAGTCCTACCACTCAGATAACTTGAGATCCATGTTAGAAGATCACATGGAAACCCTAATAAGTCTAGCTTTAATACAAGTAGCGAGTGATTTACTGAATCAAACGCTTTACTAAAGTCAGTGTAAACTACGTCAGTCTGCATGTTCTTTCCAAAGCCATTTATTACAAAAGACGTTAGCTCCAAGAGGTTTGTCGTCGTAGATCTTCGCCTTATAAATCCATGTTGGCATGGAGATATAATCGATCTACAAAGATGTTGCAAATGGGGTGTAATAGTGTTTTCGAAAAGCTTTGGGATGGCGGATAATTTGGATATGCCTCTGTAATTACTTGTATTGCATTTATTTCCTTTCTTATGACTCCTTCCAAATAAGTGGGAACTGAGATGTTTTTAAAGACAAGGTAAACAATTTGTACATAGGTATACACAGAGTTTCAGCACAGTACCTCAGCACGCAGCCTGGAACTCCGTCCGGACCCGGTGAATAGACAGGCTTAACTTTATGGAGATCCAAAAGAAGGGAGCTTTCGCTTAACCTCGGACAAAAAATCAAGTTCGACTTGGGTATGGCATTTGCATAAGACGGATTTGGACGGGAAGTTACAGAATATGTTGTCTGGAAAAACTGGGCAAATAGATCGGCAATTGTCTGATCAGAATTTGCCGTAGAGTTTTCAAATGATAGTGATTCAGGGTAGCAGGCTGATTTACGCTTAGTGTTAACAAAATTATAAAACTGTTTTGGATCTTGTGAAAATTGGACCCTACAACGAGTCAAATAGCTTTTATAACACCTGGCGTTAAGCACGATAAAATTTGACCGAGCCTTTAGGTACCGAGAGAAGGCAGATTGTGAACCGCACATTTTAAATTTATTGAAAAGTCTGGACTTAATATTTTTTAGGTGGGACAACTCTTTATTAAACCACGGAGGTTTATTTAAAATTGACGGATAGTATAACGGAACACACAGATAAAAGAAGGAATTCAATGCATTATAAAAGATATTAACGGCCTTAGCCACGTTAGTGCATGAATAAAATTCGGACCAGTCATAGCCGGATATAAAAGTATTTAAAAGATGAAAGTTTGCCTTACGGAAGCAGCGGATTCGTTTAACCGACTTTTCGGATTTTTTATTCAGCTCTGTTCTTGCGTCTACAGTCAGCTCTAGAGTTGGATGATAAGAATCTTCCGGTTGTGTAAGTGGTGACGTTCTTGATAGGCAAACGCCTTCTGAATTTGAAACAAAACACAAGGCCAGTAAACGTCCTAAGGAGTTCTTAACATGGTTCACTTGGGATAGCGCAATGTCAAGCAAGCCGTCAATAAAGTCATGCTGCGCTAAAGGAAGTAAAATGTTAGAGTTTTCATCAGGGGACCATTTCGCACTAGGTATATTAAAATCACCCAATACTATTAACTGATCTCTATCTGACAGTTTTTTGGAAATGGACTGAATAACGGAAAGGTGATTTGTGAAATAGGGAACTCAGATGATGGTGGGATATATGAAAAAGTAATATATACAAAACTACCGGGAAACGATAATTTTATACCTAGGAATTCGATGTCATAAAATTCTTCGAAAGTTAGTAATTCAGACGAAAAGGTGGAGTCGACAGCAATCAGGACTCCACCTCCACGTCTGAACTGACGATCAAGCCTATAAATTGTGTACTTACCCGGGAGAATTTCGGAGCTAAGAATATCCGGCCTTAACCAGGTCTCTGTACATACCATAATATTATATGGGAAAGAAAAACTATCCGAATACAATTTAGTCAGCTTACTAAGTAAGCCTCTTGTATTCTGATAGCAAAGAAGAAAAGAGGAGGCTAGTTTTTTGGGACAGAAGAGGATGTGGAGGGCGCTGCGGATGGTTCTTTAATGGTATTTTCCATTTCCCCAGAACTATTCTTTTTTCTCTTAGCTTCGTACTCTTTTACAAATATGCCCTCGGGCCAGAAACTGGTGGAACACACAGATGCAAAAAGAGCACAAGGAATACCAATCTTAAATGATGATACTTTCCTAGCATAAGAAAATTTAAATTGTTCGACCTTAAAATCATCAACTTGGATTTTGTTACGGATATAAGCCGTAATATCCAATGATGAGAGGTCTGGGGCGAGCCGTGAAACAAATACATGTTTTAGCTGGGGCACCCGAACACAAGTAACCGTTTTTGGTACAACAGATGCAACCCTTTTTGGTACTACAGAATTTGTATCTGTACTACCAGTATCGGCCGGTAATCCGGACGTTAAGTCTACATGAGGTGTTGGGGCCACTACTTTATTTTGATCGGACAGAGCGGAAGTACCTAGTGGAGCCACATCGATTCCAGCCACTTCGGATACCGAATCACTTTTTGCCCCCGATCTTAGTACCATTTGAGTGGCGCCTAAGATTGGCAGCTGAGCTGGAGTCGAATCGCGGGCAGCAGGTTGCACAGCACCTGCCATAGAATGCCCACCGACCGCGACTTTTTTGCGCTTTGGGGAATCGGGCTCAGCTAGCATTCGGCTAGTGAGCTGAGATTCAAGCGCCTCGAGCAGGTCCGTATTTTTACGGCAGTTCCGGATTAATTCCGTAACACTCCTTTTTGTGAGCCGCCTAATAGTTATTGCCTGGTTCTCGTATACAATGCATTCATCGCAGTAGTAGCGTAGGCCACTCCTTTTATCGATGGCATCACGAACCAGGCCAGAATAGCCAAGACACTTTGCGTGATAAATTTTATCACATGTTTGGCAGGGAATACTTTGCTGTCCAGCCGAGATAACTTTCTTGCAATTTTTTAATGAATGACCGCGGACCACTGTGCACTATAGCGGACAAAAAAATCGAAAGCGCTCAAGAACTTGAGAGATATGACTCTGAGAGATATGACCGTTGGAGTGCGTGCCGTTCCAACAGCGCTCAACGACGAAGAGAAATACTGAAAAGAGGGGCAATGGAACACAATAACAACAAACCAGCACCGAATTAAATTATGATAAAAACTTTTTGTTTACTAAACACAAGTTAATCACGATGCACTCGCGAAGTGAACGGAAAGTTGTTAGAAAACACTTAAAGGTGTAGAAACGTTAAAGAGATTTAAGTAAACCCCGGTGGTTTCAACAAGAAAAATGAAAATTCGGAGCGCAAAACAAAAACACGACCGTTCTCTGTGAAGACGCACGAATAAGTTTCTAGACAGATTGAATTTAGAAAAGGAAACGATAAAATCAAAGATGTACAACATTATTTTCATAAATTAAAAATCAAATTAACTAACAAAGAAATGACAAATACTATCGCAAAAGATATCATCAAAGAATATCTATGCACAAAAAAGAGCGCAATATACTTCCACAATGACTCAGGTTTTCCTATATTCCAACAAGCTCATGTAGAAATAATCAATCCAAATCATTTAATAAAAGTAGTAAGATGTACCAAGAAATTAGAAGATATCCTTATGTACGCAGAGTTAAAAAAAAATATATTAAAAAGACCTAAAGATTTATTACACC